ATGATGAACCGATTTAGAATATTTAAAGAAAAAAATCTTTTTGCACTATTTGTTCTCAACAATTCCTTTACTATTTAAAACTAATGGAAATAAAAGTTGGCCTAGTATGAAATGTGTCTTAAATGTAAGATGTGGATGCATGTAATCATTTCGTTCTTTAAATCTGTTTAGAAGAGAATTATTTTTGTTTTTTTGAATTGCTCCACTGGTTTTCGTAACTTCGCCGACTATGTCCAGTCCGACCCGGGTAGGTTACCTAGCATTGACAGGTGAGTCTCCCAGCGAGAATTTTCTGCATACACAAAGTCTCGAAGAGAATTGTTTTTGTTATGCATAGAAACTTTTTTTTGAAAAAGAAATATGTTTAATAATACAATTTATTATTATTCTTCATTGGGAGAATATGTATCTAATAAATAATTTAAATTAATAAATTTTTTATTTAATAAATGATTGTATTTAATCCTAATAATGTATTTTACGGTATTTATTATGGAAAAAAAATATTTTTTATTTCTATTAATTTGAGTTCTTGAACTATCTATTTATTTTTTAAAATAGAAAAATAAATCGATTTTATCAAATACTATTTCTAGCTATTTTTTTCCCTACACCAAAAGAAAAAAAATTAAAACCAGATAATGAAACTACAATGAAACATTCCAGGTTTCTATTGGAGCAATGGTTTTTTTTTTTTTTTTTTTCAATCACTGTGGCTATTTTTCTCGTATGAGTTTATCTTCGTGCAAGATTCAAGGCGTAAAAGCTTGACAAAAACTATATAAATCTTTACATAAATGAAATAGAGGAATATTATACTTACAACTTTTTTTTACAACCTCTTACAATCATCTCTTAACACCGTTGATTTTCGCCAATCAACGGTTATTATTTTCGAAAATTAAACTCATTAATTAATTATTAATTCACAATAAATGATAACCGTTGATTGACGGAAATCAATGGTGTTAAGATATAGTTGTAAGAGATTGTAAAAAAAAGGTTGTAAGTATAACCGTCTTCAATGAAATAATGTAATCGTATGGTTTTGAGATATTCAAGTGTGATGAGTCACACATTGATTGGTAATGGGCTAAGTGAAAAGTATATAAGTGGAAGGACCCATGAACCTAATGCTGACTTATCACACTTGAATATCTCAATATATGGTAAAAGATAATTTACAAATATCAAGGTCCTTTTCTTATGTTAGACAACACGAAAAAAATATATTTAAAAAAGTCACTGTATTCAACAAAACAATTAGAAGTAAGCTGTAAGTTCGTTGGTCTAATAACAACAACTGCATTTTATTAGAATTTATAAGATCTAATCAATTATAAACGTGCGTTTGGATTAATATGTTTTAGAATTAACAAAGTTTGTTCTTTTTTTGCATTTTACAAAAAAGAACATTGAAAAGGAAACATTTTTTTTTTCAAAATAAGCTGTTATCAAACATGTTATTGTCGTTCAAATCCTTGCAAGTATTTAGGTTTTTTTGCTTTGACCTTGTTGTAAACATTGAGTAACATCACTTTGTAGTAAACATATTCTTCTTGTGTTGGGTCAATTTACTAGGAGAATTCTTAATTATTTTTTCCACGTATTGTCAAATTTAATGCAGAATTTTGATGGAAACTTTTAGCCACCATAAATTTATGGAGTGCTATTTTTTTAAAAATTTGGTGAGCAAATTAATTTTATTTATTATGATATCATAATCATTTTGTCCGAGCTTTGAATTAAAAAAATAATGTAAAAGTGTTAGATGAATGGATAAAACTATTTGTAGTGATTTTACTTCTTTTTTGAACCGGCCACGAGTTACTAATTAAGAAGCTCTCTTAATATTTAATTATTTATCATATAGAGAATTCAAACTTTGATAATTTCCTAAAAACCAACTTGTTACTGTAATGATTACGAAATGTCTAAAACTAAAGAAAATAGCTCAAAGAATTATATGCTAATTATACAATAAATATTGATAGTACCAATTAAATTCTTTGTGGCTAAGCAAAGTCTACCACAATAGAAGTTAAACACATAACAGATTGCCTACCACACATAACAGATTGCCTACCAAAGCATGGAGTGTTTATTGGTTTAATGGGGATCCTCAATGTCTCATCTGCAATGAGCACATAGAAACCTTACTGCATGCTGTTAGGGATTGTCCCATCATCAAAAAGATATGAGTTGCTATTTTGTCTCCCTCATAAAGGGAAACCTTCTTCGAAGTTGATATACTTGAGTAGCTACAATGGAACTGGAGTCATAAGGGGGAAAGTACAGGTACGACCCAATGGGCTACTCTTTTTGTTGTTGACTGCTGAATGATACGACATTGGCATAATTCAGTTGCACATGGCCAACCAGCCCCTCCTTTTATCCACTCACATCTCGCTGTGGTTGAAAATGCGTAACAAGTGTGTGATGCATTTGTACAGGACACTTCTCTTCTGGTCCAACGTACTATTATTTGGCTTCTTTCACCGGAAGAATTTATTAAATTAAATATAGATGGTGCTTCTAGGGGCAATCCAGCGCTGCTTGTGGTGGAGTACTTCGAGACTCAAGTGGCAATTGAAGATGTGAATTTTCTTACAGAATTGGTACTTGTTTAGCATGGAAATGCAGAACTGTGGGGTGTTCTGAAAGGGCTCCAGCTAGCTTGGATGAGAGCTGTCAGGAAACTAATCATTGAAAGTGACTCAAGCTCTGTTGTTGCGTTGCTCACTAGGCATGGTGAGAAAGCTCGTGAGTCATCTTTGGTGACTCATATTCGAGCATTGATCAATTGTAACTGGCAAGTCTATTTTAATCATACACTTAGGGAGGCCAATTGTTGCGCCGATTACCTGGCGAACCTCCTGCTAGGTCACATGGATATGGATGATTCTGTCTTTTCAGAACCTCCTCCTGAATTATTCTTGCTTTTGCTTGCGAATTCCTTAGCCACTCCTCGAATTATGTATGTCGGTTGATTCTTTTATTTTTGTTTTCTGCATTTTAACTTTCTTTATGTATCCAAAAAAAAAAGTCTACCACAATAGTGGACATTATTAGTCCAAGAAAAAAAAAACCTGGTTGTGTTATAAAAATAAATAAATATTGCTATATAAAATAAATTTTTCGTTTGTATTTAAAAAAAAATATTACAATGTTTTTACAAATTATTGAAAAAATAGTTATAATATAGTTTTAGTCAATCCAAAGCCAAGTAACTTCTTCAACTCAAGTGGCTATTATATTTTTAAATTTCATTTAAAATGCAAAATCTAGTTTATAATCTTAAAGGCATAACTTTATGACTTCAATATATGTCTTCAGTCTTCCAAAATTACTCAATAGTTATTGTTTTCAAACAAATCACTACACTGAAAATTAGGTTCAAATTTGATCAGTTCAAAAAGAAGCCTTGAAACATATAAGCTAAACTTTAAAGCTTATAGTCTAATTGCCATTCAAAAATATCTTTTGACAAGTTAGTTATTATAAGCTTGCATAAAGTATTTATCTTTCAGGATCCACATGATTTGACTGATCCACTTCATGGACCTCTTAAAGTTAGAAAATAAGCACGAGGAACATATTAATAGACCAGGCTAAAGGATCGTGATTCAATTTTTAGGCGAAATAATTTAGGATTAGTGGTGAAAACTTTCACCCTTTATGCCATAAAAGAGATTAGTGTCATTCAAATAGGTGGTGATACATTTGAGAAAAAATATTATAATAAAAATCTTGTGGGGAAACTTTTGAAAAAAATCTTAAAATTTAAGCTAAACGTGACATGCACTTAGCCAATTGTTGAAATTTCAATATTTCATTCCTTTACAGATATATGTAACACAAAATAAAGATATAAGAATATGTATATAAAATATAATTTATATAAAGACTACATATGTAACAAAAAATTTGTATTCTAAGAAGTAATTCTGGTTTAAGATGGGTTAATAAAAAAATGCATAAAATAGATTACTCTTAATGAGTAAGATTGGAATAAATGAACATATCCAAAAGATAAAGAATAATCATCATCACTAAGTCTCCACAAAATACTATATAAAAAACGAAAGTATACAAACATTTTGATATAATCTACGGTTGTAAAGCAGATCGCAGACAGGTTATGTAAATGCTATGGGTTTCTTCATCTTTCTGTGGACAATTTGAGAGAATGTCAACATCAAATCTATTGAGAATTGGGCATAATCTAACCCTAAATCCTGTATGCTGCTTTGTCTTTACGTGTATCATCCCTTAACCATTAATCAACCCTTTTTTTTCAAATAATTTTTTTTTATATTAATAGGTACCCACAGTATATGATGCACCACATTTCAAAAAAATTGAAATATCATATCCGATTTTTTAATACTCCAACATTTAACATGTATTGTAAAAATTCAAAAAAAATAATAAAAAAATTACGTTATATTTTTAGTTTAAACTATTAAATTTATTGAATTATAATTATCATTTTATTAAATTTAATATAAATATTTAAAATATCTTATATTTTTTTTGCAAAATTAATGAATTATAAATTTAATTTATTTTTAAATTATTAAATATTAAATATAATATATATTATATAAATTAAAATATTATTTAATATCAAAATATACCCTAATATATTAGTATCACAATATAATATCAGAGTTGGTACAACATAACCCACAGTCCTAACTCCTAAGGATCCGACAAATTTGAATACATTTTGACTATGATTCATGATCCTTTGAGCAGATGAATTGATTTTTCAAATAATTTTTTTTACAATAATACTAACAACAATATTTAAATACAAAACTGCACGTTCAGAGAATTTCTAACCATTTAAAAAATAAATAGAAAAAAAAAAAAACAAAATACCAAGTCTGTTATTTTTACCTATTTTTTTTACCTAAAGAAACAGAGTATGAAAAAGGAAAAAAAAAATAGTAGAAAAAAAGAAGGAAAAATAAAGGAAACACTGAAATATTGTATCAACCAGAAGGTGGTGGATGGCCACTGGTATCTGACCATGTTGACGGCGGAAACTCTGACCCCTCTCCGCCGATTCCTCCTCCGTGAGGGTGGTTTCCCGGTGGCCGGAAATAGCCCATTTGTTGACTAGATAACAGGGGAAATGAAGCAGAGGAAAATTGAGTAGATGGTGAAAATGATACATTTGGTGATACAAAAGAAGACAAAGAGGGTGATGATGATAACAATGAAGAAGATTCATGTACACCCAATTGTGAATTATAGTACCACTGCTGAAGCAAACTAGAAGGTTGGTTTTGTTGTTGTTGTTGTTGATGTTGCTGTTGTTGAAGCTGATGATGAAAGTCTTCAGGACTCTGAAGAAGCTGAGAATATTCCCAATAATCTCTGATCAAATCAGAGGAACCCTGAAACGGTGGTGGCATGAATGGTTGCGGCGGTGTGGCGGTTGCGGCCGCTGGTGCGGGGAGTGGAAGGAATTGAGTAGTGGCTGTGGCCGGAAAAGGTTGAAGTTGTGGTGGCATTGCTCTAACATTTTCTGGGAAGTTTAGTTTTGCTCTATTGCCTCTGAACCTCAATGCAGCTTCATCATAAGCTCTTGCTGCAGCTTCTGCTGTTTCAAATGTTCCAAGCCAAACCCTTGCTGCTTTGTGTGGATCACGAATTTCTGCAGCCCATTTTCCCCATGGTCTTTGCCTCACTCCCCTGTACCTTCTTCTCCTCTCTCCTGTTTCTTCTTGTGAAGAATTTTGGCCTAATGGCGTGGCCGCCACGGTGGCTACGGTGGTGGTGGTGGTTGAAGGTTCTTCAGTTACTGGTTGAAGTGAAAAAGCAAAGGTAACTTATAAAAAACATTTGCACTTGTGTAAAAAATGACTTTGTCTCTTGGATGGCTTAGTTCTAAACTATGGTTTTGGTATATTCAGTTTTTTAAATCTCAATTCATATTATCTTTTCTATGCAGTAATATGGTATTGGATAATGAAAAATGAAAATTATTTGATGCATGCAATATAAGATAAAAATGGTGCAGTTTGTTAATGTATTTGAGGTGGTCCTAGTAGGGAAAGGAAATCTAATGAATACAAGGGTTGATACTAGGTATAGATTGATGCTGCATGTTTTATTCAACAAGTTGGTATGTTAAAAAAAAATATGGTTGAGAGAGTTTAAAATAATGCAAACAATGATATGATATACCCCATTTGTTGCTTTAGATAAACAACTTGAGAGGATGAAATCTTGAGATGGTATGTGATGATTATGTGCATAAAATGCTTCATAGTTTGAAATGAAGTATAAAGTAAAGAAGTCGCACCTGATGATGATGATGACTCTACTTGAGAAGGTAGCCAAAAGTCACCAATGTTTCTGAAGAGTCTAGGAACAGATTGTTGTATCAATTGATGAGAAGCACCACTTTCTTCTTCACGCCCTCTTTTTTGCCCAACCCATGAGCCAGAGGGCAAGTTAAGGCCAGAAGTGGAAGAAGAAGAAGAAGAGAAAGAAGACAAACGTGGAGTTAAAGATGAATGTCCAAAACTTGACGTCAGAGGAAAACCACTTCCTTGGAACCATTCAGCACCGCTTTGGCCAGAACCTGATACCACATGAGTCAGAGCTGAAACCATTTCATTCAACTCTCGAGCCCTGCCATACCCTGACACCATAGGACCTTGCATTGCCACCTCACCTTGTTGAATCACTTGGTTCAATCCTTGTGACTCAGATCCCCCAGAACTTCCACCATCATGACCATAAGGATGTTCCTCGTCACCATCACCACCGTCACCGCCGCCTTGCTGCGCCGTGAACTTTAAGAACTCACCTGATCCTCTTTGGTGCGCCACCGTTAGCAAGGACATGTAAACAAAGTTTTAATTTTTTCTTATATTTTTTGTGACAAAAATTACCAAGATCCAACCGTGATTTCTCTTATATAATTCCTTCTTCTGAGACCCTTTGAGATTCTATTGAGAATGAAACGATTATATAATAAAGGGTACAAAGAGAAATCAAAAATGAGCAGCTGCTTAGCCCCTAATTAAATAGTACTTACTAGTTACTACTCATGGTGGTGTTGTGCCTTACTCTAGTTTCCACCATGCACACAAAACACCACCACCTTTCTTTCTGATATTTATTTTTTTTAAATTAATTTAATATTCTTGGTGCACAAATTCTCTTTGTGCCAAAATATATATAAAAAACAAAAACATTTTGGATATGACATGAACATTAAAAAAAGAAAAATTAAAATATACGTTTCGCCGCCTCTGAGAATTTCGGTATTTATGTTCACACTATAAAGATGCAAAATGGACTTTACTTAACACGTGGCCGCAGTCTTTTGGCACCTCCATGTTTTGTCGGTGTTCTTTTTACAGATAGAGAGAGAGAAACAGAGATCATCTTTGAATTGAGTTCTATTAACCATAAATATTCAAAAATAAATAAAAAATGTTCATTAATACAAATGTTATACGTTTGCTTTTACCGACATAGCAATTTTGAGAGCCTTAATAATAACAATTTTGGGCTCCAATAATTGTGATTAGTACACAATTTAACTTTAATGGGTTTGGTGCGAAAAAGCAAATAATAGATTGAGTTGCAACTTACACAAGTTGGTGATTGTTATGAGGGAGGTGTGAATTGGTACAGTATTAAAATGCAATTTGCACATTGATATGGTACATTGAATTATTTATCTATATATGACATTATATTACTAGAAAGATAGAAGAGAACATTTTGAAATTGATTATGCAAACATTTGCTTCTTTTCCAAATAGGTAAAAAAATAGAATGAATGTCATTATGTGGTCAAAACACGGCTCTTCATGCTACGCATTAGATATTTCTACAAGCTGGTTCGTGCACATCATGAACAAGAGGAATCAAACAGGACCCATACTTGTAAAACTGATTTTGAATTCTTCAAATTTGGTGGAATATTATTGTACAATTTTATTTATTTTGTATCAGATGCGTAGCACTTTAAAGGCGGTTAAATAAGGTCAAATCGTTTACTGGGTCGCCATTCCCCATCATGTACGACCATGGAAATTCTTTTTATATTGATAAATTTGCAACGGAGAATACAAATCAGTGTTATAAAAATCAACTGGAATCCGTCGTGCATTTAATTCGGTATAAAATCGATAAATCAATCTTGAATAAGGTTTAATCTTTATAAAACTGGAATCGGTTTTTAAAAAAATCAGGTTTATGGAGTTTTGAATGAAATGATTAAAACATATCACTAATGAGATTCGAACCTAGACAATGTGAATTATAATTTATATCACTTAACACTACATCAACTTTAATTATAAACTAAAATACTTCTAATTTCATATTTATTACATTGTATTATATATATTTAATTTCCGCAGTTAAATCAATGATCTATTAATTGAATCGATAACTCATTAACTTAGTACCCGATCGAGTCGAGATCCGAATTTGATAGCACTGATACAAATACAAGCATAATTATTATTTGTTCGTATCAAAGTGAATCTAATGATTAATTACATATATATATATATATATATATATATATATATATATATATATATATATATATATATATATATATATATCATGTACATGAAATATATTTTCTTATGTGTTATTTAACATGACATAGTCATGTCATAAAATTATAATCATTAATGAACAAATCAATGGTAATAATTTTGTAATTTCCTCATAATATTTTCTCTCTCTCTTCCCCTGTCACCATTGGTTCATCCTTATATGATTAAGAACCTCCTATATAATATGATCATCTTAAATAACATATAAGAGAATCTACTCCCAACTTTTGTCATCTCTTTATATGTATGTTTTAGTACATTAAAATTGTATAATTAGATGCTGGCATAATTTACTAGGATTTTAATTTTTTATATTACAAATAAAGTTCATCTAGAGTTACATTCAACTTTTATGTATTTGTTTTCGGGAGGGTTATATTTACAAATTTTTTGTTTACAAACTCTTACAAACTACATTATGTTCTCCCGAGAGAACAATATGTTACACTATGTTCTCTCGGGGGTACATAGTGTAATTTCAAAAAATTATTTGTAAACGGAGCATTCCCCTTTATTTTGTTAATATAATATAGGGCTTTATTAGTCACATGAAATAGGAGAGAAGCTTTCTCATGCTATAAACACAGTCATGTATGAGACGAGTGCATTTTCAGTACCATGGTTAAGGGTGAAAGTGGGCTGGGCTGGGCCAAACTTTGTCCCGAAAAGCCCAAGCCTATGTCAAAAAATTTCAATTTAACCTGGCCCAAGCCTAGTATGAGTCTAACTGTTAGCCTGATTTGGTCCGTTTATAAAAAAACAAGTGGCCTGGCTTGGCCCGTTAGCCTATTAAGTTTTAGCTTCCAAGCAGAACCATGGATCAACTTTACAAAGTACTCAAATTCTGTTGCTACACCAAAAATCATAATTTCAACGTTCAAACAGAATCATGAATCATGACAAAACGCATACAATATGCATTTAAGTCATTTTCAAAAGTAAAACGCTCAAACTAAATAACATATATTTCATTAGATCCAACAAATAAATGCATACTATGTAAATTAAAATAACTACACGAATCCAACAAACACATCATGATGCTTGTAGTAAGTATAACCTCTCCAAATTTTTTTTTAATATATTCATATACACAATCTAACATGTTGAGATGTTGGTTCCTCCTATATAAGAAATAAAGTAAGATTTCTATTAAAATATAATCGAATATAATTAAGTTATAAATAAATGTAATTGATTAAATTTATATCTTTTGTTTTTTCTTAAGGCATACTTACTCTATTTTATTTTATTTAAAATAAATAGTACAATATAGGCTGGCCTGTAGGCTTATAGGCCCGGCCTTTTGAAAGTGAGCCTACGACCTTTTTATTAAACAGATTTTTTTATGGCCCAAACCCGGCCTATTATACAAAATATACTAGATCATGTCTGACCTGATATAGGCCGAGCCGTAGGCCCCTGTAGGCCGGCCCGACCCAGTTTCACCCCTAACCATGGTGATACTGAACTGGGTGCATTTTTTTATAACTTACACTATGTACTCTTAGAAATATATAGTGTAAATTACAAAAAGTGCTTTTTTCTTTTCACTCCAATACAAAAAGAAGCTAAGGTGGCATCTTTCAATTGATCGGTCGCACCTATCAGTGTGGTATTGTAGATTATTCTGTACGAGACTCATCCACTTATAAAAAAATAAAAATAAGAAGCAACACGAAAATAGATATATATGTAAGAGAGAAAAACGCTCTCAGTATATTTTCCGTATAATATAATAACGAATGACATTTCCCTAGTTAGTATAAAAAATGGAGATTATTTTATTTATTTATTTTAAAAAAAAGTAAACCATCCGTATTAGCAAGAGTTATTGTGTAAATTTAATTTATATTTATTTCTTGAATTTAATATTTGTTAAGTATAGTACTTAATTTTGCACGAAAATCATTAGATTTTATCGAATGAAATAAGAAACTAGCCTACATTCACTTTATAATATTCGTTTTATAGACTCAACCATTTACATTTAGGAAAATGAATTTTAATGATAGTTTAATACTAATTAGTGTTCCAAATTTTAACACCCGACTAATCTAATTTTAGGTGTCAGGAGTTGTGATTGAATCTTTTACTCTTTAAGAAAGTCAAATCCTAAAATTTAGATGCATCATCATTAAACCATCGTAATAACTTTTTTTTAATCTAAACCACAGAGGCAGAGTTTCTTTCTACATTGGGATTGAAAATAAAATATACTTTATAAAATATTTTAAAAATTTATTAAATCACAGAGAAGAAATGTGTAAAATATATAATAACTGTTATTAAAATTAATTAAAAAATTAATAATATTAATTAAATCAAAATCAAAAGGATTCGGGAATGAAAAATATAGATATTAATTAAAAAGAACAAAAGAATACAGATTAACATCTAATTTATCCCGATTGTAATAGAATATCCTCGTGATTTATATTTTCGTAATTTAAAAAAAAGGAGGAAAAATAAAAATAAAAAGCTCGCCGTAAAGACAATACGATGAAAATCGCTAAAATTAAGATAAAAATGTCAACTGGATTTGAGTCAAAGAATGAATGAAACGTCACACGTGTAGTTAGATGGGAAATAGTGATCGGAAGAAGAATATGAAGAATGGGGTTGGATTCCTATGCTAATTAATATCACCATAGAAAATCATAATCATACAAAAGTGAATCAATAATGATAAAAAAAAAAGAAAAAAAATATAGAGATAGATAGTATTATGGACCTACATAAAGTCAATATATCTAAAGGCCCAACAAAGTATAATTAAATGACAGTTGTGCAAGAGGATAATTGAGCTTATGAATAGAAGCCTATAACTCATATACTCTCACAAGTAAAACTCTACAAATAGGAGATAAAGTCTATAGATATCAGCCAATCTCTCTCTTACTATTATGATGTCACTCAGTCACTCTGCTTTATGCCATTATTAGTTGTGTATAGTAAACTTTCATTTCTAGATATCTATTTCATAGATATCTTCGCTAGAGAGAGTTTGGTCCCATATTGACCTACTAGCCTTAGGCTAGACTGTTACGATGCGAAGGTCCACGAGGAGTAGGAAGCGTTCATCTATGCTAACAGACTTTGTAGCGTGACTTATACTTCATGTTTCCATTTGTAATGCTCTGTTAGTTGGTTAGTCCACGTGTACAGTTGCATGTCCTTATTAGTCAGTTAGTTGGTTAAGCTACACGTGCGTGTGTAGTTGTCAATTGGTTATATTGGAAGGATTATAAATAGGAACT